CTCCTGCCTCAGCCTCCCGAGTAGCTAGGATTACAGGCATGCGCCATCACATTTGGCTAATTTTGTATTTTTAGTAGAGACCAGGTTTCTCCATGTTGGTCAGGCTAGTCTCAAACTCCCGACCTCAGGTGATCTGCCTGCTTCGGCCTCCCAAAGTGCTGGGATTACAGGTATGAGCCACTGCACCTGGCCCCCCAGAGTTACTTCTTATCTGCCTTGATTGTAAGACCACATTTCAACTTGCTTTACATACATCAGCTGGGGTAGACTACTGATGGCAGGTGGACCTGCATTATAGAACTGGATGTGTTTTACACAAGCTTTATTTTGGGTATTCTTGCCTTGATATTTCCCATGGAATACGGCTTATAGATGACAATGGGAAAATAACTGAAGAAGCTGATGTACAATCTGTGCAAGTCCAGTTAAATGGTCACTTGGAAGTTTCAATAAAATCTTCAATAAACTTTAACATGGAGTTTGACATAGTGCTAGTGATACACTTTGCATGACACAGATGTCTTCCAATTCCATCTTCTATTTCTACTTTCATGTACCCTCTAGCCCTCTATTGTTCTGTCAGAGACTCGTGTTTCCTTGTTAAATGGGTTATTTTGAAATGAGTTTTTACCTCTGTATGTTGGGAGAGTCACAACAAACCATTCCGAAACTACTCTTCATGTAAAATATCATAAATTCAAATAAACATTCCAACCCAGAAGGGGTCACTAACAAACAATATATGTCCTACTACAGTCTAAACAGAATACAATTCTTCTAATCCCAGCTCTCTACAGCATAAGCTAACAATGGGCATTATAGTTGGATACATCAGTTTCACACATTTTAATCATTTCCAGAAATTAAACAGTAAAAGATGCCTGACCAGAGGAAAATATTTAATCAGTAAGAAAGCCGGTATAAAATTATATCTAAGGGTTATCATGTAAAGCTGTGGAAGTAAACAGGAAGGAAGATGGATTATGCTTATCCAGTTACAGATTTTGTTAGAAAAAGGAGTACAGCAACGGGAGAAGAAATGAAATCCTTTCAATCAGGGTTGTCCACCCCTTACCTTAAACTGGATTCTGGCCACTAACAAGCACATCTCAGAGCAGACAGTCAGCTCTTTCATTCCAGAACTCCCCTGAAGAAAGACTACTGTTCTCCATTTCGTAGGGGATTTGAAGAAACTCAAAGGCTCACTGTGTTTTCGAGGTCTGTGGATAGACAGCTACTGCTCTGTATGCCCATGAATAGATTCCTACCAGCAAGCCCCTCTTTTCTCTGTACTAGAATTCCCAACCCTACTAAGTTATCTTCCCAAATATTTATAGGACTTACAATTTTTTTCAAGATCTCACAAAAACATGGTCTCCTGAGGCACCCAAGAAACGCCTTTCCCGACATCAAACAGCAATTCTAGGGTGTAGGGGGCAAGAATGGATTCCAGCACATCCCAGATATCACGATAGTCTTAGGATTTTGCTCTCAAAGGGGCTTTCTGGCTTCGTTTCTATTTGGTTTCTTAAGAGAGGCGGCCTGAGAAAAGCAGCAGCCCCTCAGGTGAGCATACGTTTAAACACAAACAAAAGACTACGACTCTGCAGCCAAAATGAGGTCCCCAACGAGAGAACCGCTTCCTGCGGTGGGCGTTCGGCTTTGGAGGCGGCAGGGAAATCTAATCCAAGTCAGAAAGTGGGTAGAAGCAGAAAGAGAAGGAGCTGGAAGACTCACGAGTCTTGAATAAGAAGCCCAGGCTACCCCGTCCCAAGGACAGCAGTTCCAAAATGCGGTTCCCGCCCAGAGCCTCAAAAAGACGCAGGTCGTGAGACTGGAAGCCCGGGACCGAGCGCAGCGAGCGACTGGGAGCAGCGCGCACACCCGGGAGCATCCCGCCCCGGCGGCGGGGCCAGCCCAGCAGCAGCGCTCACCCACTTACCAGCAGCAAGCGCGGGGACCGCTCCTATCCCGATCGTTCGGACGGCACCTTCCTACGCGCCGCGCTGCCGCAGCTTCTCCACCCGCGCCCCGTTCTGCCTGTGCTCCCTCTCGGCGCACGCCTCTCCCTCAGGCTGCCACGCGCTGCACCCTGAGTCCAGGGCCTGAGCCCGTATTTAAAGGCTTCGGCCCGAGAAGGCGGAGGCTTCATTCCCCCGCAGCCAGGCCCTCCTGGATTCTGCCCTCAGCCTCTTCCTAGCTCCCCCTTCCGCTACACAAGACTCTAGGCCGGGTCCCTATTTCCTTCAGGGCCTGGGGCGGGGTGACCGGGGTGGGGCTGATCCTGGAGGGGCGGACCTGCCCCGCCCCTGGCCAAGCTGAGCGAATCCGCTCGGGCCAGCTCAGCGGTTCCGCCCCTACCGCGAGCGGCGCTGGGCGGGGCTGCGTGCGTGGCGTATCCGTCGGACCCGGAGACTAGGGCGCGCCGAGGGTGCAGGCCGTTTGCTCGCCTACTCGGCGGTCGTGGGTCGCGGAGTGGTCAAGCCTTGTAGTCCAGCAGCTGTCTTCTCGGCGCCCTGTCCTGGCCGAGGCGAGGGCCGCGTGCGCTCCCTGTCCGCCAGGCTTTAGGGCTGCGGGGGTACTGGGCAGGTGGCGGGCCGAGGGGACCGGAAGGTCCTGGCCACCTTTCCGGTCCCCTCAGCACCCTGGAGCGCCGCCCCTGGGTTTCAGCCACCTAGACTCTGCGGGTCGGTCCCGGCGGGCGGATTACTCCACGCCCACAACCTCGGGGCCCCAGGATCAACCGCGCCCTCCGGGCCGGCCACGCAAGGTTTAGTCAGAACCCTCCCGAGCCGCCGCTTCTGGGAAAGAGGCGCCTCCTGTCTGGAGGATGCTGAGTTTCTCACGACTGGACCAGCGGGTGTCCACGTCCTGGTCCCTGGCCGAGAGGCAGGACCCCCCACGCCCTCCGGGCGCGCTTTCCAGAGACGTTCCTCAGGCCCATTCCGGGATTTGGGATGTCTGTGCGTGCCATGGAGCAGAGTATGCAACATGTAAGTGCCGTGTGTGAGGAAGAGTAAAATGAACCTATGGAACCTGCTCATTTTTAATGTGGAGTGCAGTTCTGCTCATTTCTTCTGCCGCTTCGAGGTCATTTTAAGCCTCTAATATAGAAAAAAAAGCCAGGCACAGTCATGGCTTTTTAATTTTCTCATTAAGGATTACATCAGGTGACATAAGCCATTTTAACATACGTCATGAAGAAAGTGATTAGTGATTTATGAAGGCACATTAATGATGTGAGCCTTACAAACCCCATCTTAGCCTCTCCCTCCCCGCCATTTCTCCTTCAGGAGACTCACCCCTCCACTCCTCTTCAATGTGTGTTAAAAAATTTCTCCTCAGGTTTTTCGGATGACTACGGAGTTTGCCTTACAAAAGGTAGACTCCGGACTCGCTGTGAAGTGAAATGGCCAAATTTTGGAACCGGCTGGCCACCATCGGGGTCCTTAGATCCCCTGACGATCCGAGCTGTTTGGCTGGTCGTTACCGGATCGCCCGGACACCCTGATCAATTTCCCTACGTTGACCAAATGTAGGTGTCTGGACTTAGTCCAGAACCCTCCCCCTTGGCTCCGATCTTGTGGCGTTCACAGCCCTTCATCCAAGGTCCTGAGCCGGACCCCTCCTTTGCCCTGACCCCCTGCTCCCTCTGTTCCTCTTGTTCTGCCCCCTTCAGAGGAGGAGGAGAACTCTCTTCACCCCTTACCCCCACCCTATGATCCTCCTGATCCCCTAGGGTCCCCCTCTGCCTCCTCGTCCCCTGTTGCCTCCCCACCTGACGTCTCCCAAATACGGCCTCTGCCGGAGGCCGCTGCCCCACTTCTCCCCTTAAGGGAGGCATCACCCCCGTCAGGGAGTGAACGCTCAGCCCATTTCTAGTCTCTGTTCCCTTTTCTACTTCTGACCTGTATAACTGGAAGACTCAGAACCCACCCTTTTCTGAGAAACCTCAGGTTTTAACCTTACTGGTTGAGTCCATACTCTGGACTCACTGGCCCACCTGAGATAACTGTCAGCAGCTTCTCCTGACCCTTTTTACGGCTGAGGAAAGGGACCGAATTAGAAGGGAGGCCAAAAAGTCCTTGTTGGCCTCAATAAACAGGCCGGAAGACGAGGCCCAAGACCTCTTAGAGGAAATCTTTCCTTCCACCCGGCCTGACTGGGACCCCAATACCTCAGCTGGGAGGTGGGCTCTGAACAACTTCCACCAGTATCTTCTCACAGGTATTAAAGGGGCCCCATGGAAGCCCATGAATTTGTCTAAAACTACCAAGGTTGTCCAGGGGACTGATAAATCTCCTGGAGCATTCTTGGAATGCCTCTGGGAAGCATTCCGAGTTTACACCCCATTTGACCTGGCGGCCCCGGAAAATAGCCATGCTGTTAACTTGGCATTTGTGGCCCAGACAGCTCTGGACATCGCAAAAAAGTTACAAAAACATAAAGGATTTGCTGGAATAAATATTACTTAGCTTTTAGAAATAGCCTTCACCCAAGCCCTCAGATGGGGAAAGAACAAGCATATCAACATCTACACTGACAGCTGATACATCTTTGCTACCATGCATGTCCATGGTGCCATCTACCGAGAGAGAGGGCTACTCATGTTGACTGGAAAAACTATCAAAAACAAGGAAGAAATCCTGGCTCTACTAGATGCTGTATGGCTTCCATGCCAGGTGGCTGTAATCCATTGCAAGGGACACCAGAAAGAAAACAACGGCTGTTTCCTGGGGAAACCAAAAGGCAGATTCTACAGCCCACAAAGCTGCTACAGTCCTGGTTACCCCATTAACTCTATTGCCAGCCATCTCCTTCCCACCTCCCAGCCTGCCAGCCTGCCCTGTCTACTACTCCCCAGAGAAAGAAGAGCAAGCAACAGACCTCCAGGCCAACAAAGATAAAAATAGATGGTAGATCCTCCCAGACTCAAGAATCTTCCTTCCTGGCTCTTTCAGACCAGTCCTAGTCAGCCAACTCCATTCCACTACCCAACTGGGAGGAACCAAATTGACTCAACTCTTACAGGGCCATTTCAAAATTCCTCACCTCCGGGACTTAACTACCCAGGCGGCCAGCAGCTGCGCAGCCTGTGCACAGGTAAATGCCAAGCAAGGTCCCAAGCCTGAACCAGGCTGCCGTCTCCGAGGATGTAGCCTGGGAGAGAGGTGGGAAATAGACTTCACTGAAATAAAACGTCCCGAGCTGGCTACAGATGTCTCCTGGTATTAACTGACACTTTCTCAGGATGGACTGAAGCCTTTGCCACCAAAAGAGAAACCGCTTCTACGGTGGTAAAATTCCTACTCAATGAAATCATCCCTCGACATGGACTCCCTTTTGCTATAGGATCAGATAATGGGCCAGCCTTCACCTCATCCATAGCTCAGTCCATCAGCAAAGCCCTAAACATTGAATGAAAACTCCACTGTGCATACCAACCTCAGAGCATAGGACAGGTTGAACGCATGAACCGAACCGAACGCATGTAACACCCTTACAAAATTAATTCTAGAAACCAGTGAAAGTTGGATGGCCCTCCTTCCTTTAGCCCTCCTGAGTGTTAGGTGCACCCCTTACTGGGCTGGTTTTTCTCCTTTCGAAATTATGTATGAAAGGGCACCCCCTATACTACTCAGGTTAATGAATACCCTAATAGCAGAAATAACCCAGACTAATTTGTTACAGTACCTACAGTCTCTCCAACAGGTTCAAAACATCATCCAGCCACTCGTCTGGGAAGCACACCCTAATCCAGTTCCTGACCAGACTGGGCCCTGCCACTCTTTCTGTCCTGGTGACCTGGTGTATGTCAAAAAGTTTCAAAAAAAGGACTCACTCCTGCCTGGAAAGGACCTGTCCTGTCAAGCCTCTCCCCCTGCACCAAACCTTCTCATTCCCTCACCTTGGGAGACATCTCAGGAAATGCCTCTTGCTTAATTAATCCTGCTTATAACATGTCCATTTCTCCTTTTCAGACTACTTACAACCGGTCTTTACTCACTGTTATAAACTCCTCAGTTTCATATTAGGCACCCAACATTACCTGGCTAGCATGCACCTCAGGCTTAACTCATTGCCTCAATGGCTCAACCCCTGGCCCTAGCCTGTGTGTCACTGTCCATGTGCTTCCCCAAGTATATGTGTATAGTGGACCAGAAGGACAACATCTCACACCACCCGGACCAAGCAGCTCCACTTCTAGTGCCTCTCCTAGTGGGACTAAGTGTGGCTCAGTCAGCAGCCATTGGTACTGCTGCCTTAGTTCGAGGAGAAACTGGGTTAGCCACCATCCCAACAAATACATACCAACCTAGGAAGGCTCCAGGTGGCTATAGATTTGTTACATAGCCAGGTAGAGTCTTTGGCTGACGTAGCCCTTCAAAATCACCAAGGACTAGATCTTTTATTTTTCTCCCAAGGTGGGCTATGCCCTGCTTTGGGAGAAAGTTGCTGTTTCTATGCCAATAAAACAGGTGTCATTAAAGACACTCTCCAGAAAGTCAGAGAAAACCTAGATAAACACCAGCAGGATCGAGAAAATAATACTCCCTGGTACCAAAGCATGTTTAACTGGAGTCCATGGTTAACCACCCTAATAACTGGATTAGGAGGTCCCCTTCTCCTCTCATTAGAATTAATCTTTGAACCATGCATACTGAACTGGCTTCTTAATTTCATAAGACAGCACATAACTTCTGTCGAACTTATGTATCTCAGAACTCAGTATAATCCTCTTTCACTATGGAGTTAACGCTTTGACTCCCCAAAAACACAAGTGGGAATGATGTGAGCCTAACAGACTCCATCTTAGATGTGAGCCTGACAAACCCCATCTTAGCCTCTCCCTCCCCGCCATTTCTCCTTCCGGTGCACACTGGGTC